CACAGTCAGAGTGAGCGACTTTCCAAAGTTGCTCTTGCAGCCACCCCCTTTGGCCCATCCTTCGCTGCTTTCACTGTCCGCGCCCCGCACGCAAAGTGTCGACGTGGCCTTCAAGGCCCCTGCGTCCTTATCGTGCGTCCTTGTAGTACGGGTTGACTGTATTCGGTGGTGCCTTCTGCGCTGCCACACGGCTCGCAGCGTAGCCTGGCACGTCCTCATGTTTTTTGGTGCTACGCGGTCCATTGAAAATCAAAGTCCGGTTGCTTTCCCAGCGTCGCCATATGACGGGCACAAGCAAAAGGCGGATCTGGAAATTGACGGGACGCATCCAGACATGCCCCCCAAACTGGGTAAACCCGACAATTTTCCAGGCGAGCCCCGAAACTCACCAAACACAGAAATTTGAAAACCAAACCCGAGAAAACGAAATCCAAATCCAGATTGTTCCTGGGCAAAGCCGGGAACTGCAAACAAGTGCAGGTTTGAAGAGCGGTGTGGGGGGGGGGCGGCAGGTAAACGAAGAATGGGTTGAAGGGGAAAGGGGGAGCGAGGATAGATGGGGGGAGGAGGAGAGCTGAGGCAGGAGAGAGGAAGGAGTAGGAAGGAGGGAGCGGGAGGAGGTGGAGGAGGGAGGAAGGAGGGAGGAGGCAGGAGGGAGGAGGGAGAAAAAGGAAGGGGAGGCAGGAGAAAAGGTTGACGAGGGTGGAGAGAGGAGGGAGGAGGAGGGTAGGAAACGCGCACGGACAAGCGAGGTGTGGAGGAAGAGGAGGAGGAGGAGGAAAGAAAAGTGGGAGGTGACAGGATCGGAGGGAGGACTAGGAGGACGGGGAGGAGCGAGGAGGAGAGGTGGAGGGCGAACGAGGAGGGCAAGGAGGCGGGCGCGCGGACGGGCGGGCGGGTGGGTGGGCGGGCAAGAAAGCGGGCGGGTGCGCGCGGGCGGGCGCGCGGGCGGACGCATGCTTCGACGGGCGGGGGGGCGCGCGAGCAGGCGGGCGGGCGCGCGCGGGCGGGCGGGCGTCATTGCCGTCGTCGTCGTCGTCGTTATTGTCGTCGTCATTGTCGCCGTCATTATTGTTGTCGTCTGTCGTCGTCTGTCGTCGTTGTCGTCGTCGTCAGTGTCGTCGTCGTCATCGTCGTCGTCCGTCGTCATTGTCGTCCGCCGTCATCGTCGGCGTCGCCGTCGTCGCTCGTGTCGTCGTCGTCTCTGTCCGCGTTGGCGCCGCTTGCCGAGTAGATGTTGGTGTTCGCCTCCTTGGCGCTGCTACGTCGAATGCAATGGAGTAGCTGTTGTTCGTTTAGCGGCTTTGCCACGTGGCCCTCAAAGTTGTATTGCGTGTTGTTCGCCAGCTTGCCGTTGGTTGCGTCGTTGCGAATGGAATGGCGCTGCATTTGTTCCCGCCCCGCGGCGCTGCCACGTGGCGAATTGAAAAGAATACGTATGCTCGACCCCCGGGAGTTTCCACGGCGAGTAGAGTGAAGTTAATATGTACGTGTACATATATACACATACATGCATGTACATGTACATGTACATGTGTGTTCGGCCCACGCGGCATTGCTTCATGATGAGTAGAGTGGAGTTATATGTCCTGTTCGCCATCCATGTCGTTGCCACGTGGCGAGTGGAGCGGGGTAGTATCTTGGTTTGCCTTTTTTCAGGCCTTGCCGCGTGGCGTTGCCATGTGGCGAGTAGAGTGAAGTAGCATGTGTTCCCGCCCAGGTTTGTTGCCACGTGTCGAGTGAAGTGGGGTAAGTTCGTTTCGCCCCGCAGCCGCCACCACGTGGCGAGTACAGTGGAGTAGTATGTGTTCCCCCTCCAAGCGTTGCCACGTGGCCAAAAGTGGAGCAGTATATGTTTCGCACCCCCAGCGTTGCCACGTGGCGATTCGAGTGAGATGATATTGGTTCCGCCCCGCAGGCGTTGCCACGTGGCGAGTCGTGGAGTGGACTAGTTGTTGTTTCGTTCCTTACCCGCTTACACCTGGCAGTTCGAGTGGAATATGATTGTTTTCCATCCCGTTGGTGCTGGTGCTGGTGGTGTTGTTGGTGCTGCTGTTGGTGGGGTGTTGCGGCTGCTGTAGCTGATGCTGCTTGCTGCTGGTGGTGGGGTGGTGCGGCTGCTGTAGCTGATGCTGATTGCTGCTGCCTGGTGGTGGCGTTGATGCTGCTAGTGTTGCTGCTGTTGCTGCTGTTGCTGATGCTGTGACTGGTACTGTTTATGTTGCTGCTGCTGCTGCTGGTGCGTCTGCTGGTGTTGGCATTGTTGTTGCTGGTGCTGATGCTGTTGGTGATCGACCGTGGACTCCAAGCAAGGCATAGAATCGTTGAGTCGATTTGCGTTCGAATATGCCAATATGGAAGGCCCTCAGTTCCCGACTCATGGAACACAGGGGAAGACAGAAACGCGCGCGCCCGAGGACGCGAGCTTGTCATTGGCAATTACGGTGCGAGACGCGGAAAGCAAGAACGGAGATCGGAGGACGGTGCATCATGACGACACCGAGGAAACGTGGGAGATGTACGAAAATGCAACCGTTCCTGCTGCGAGAAACAAAAAAGGGATTCCGATCCAGATTGAGCTGCTCTGACGCTCCCGACGCAACCCAGCGCGAGGTTCGCAGGGACGGAAAGAAAAGGGAAAGGTGGCCTACCACATGAACGCGATGACGGGGCCTAGGAATGCAATCGGCGATGAAGAAGATGCTCAGGTTGCAAAGAAAGCCAGGAAAGCAAGGTAGATGTTTGATCCAACGCCCAAGGAGAAAATGGCTATGTCTGTGGCAGTGCCGGACCTGCCCCACCTGATGTTCAGATGATGACCAGAACCCTTTCGGGGTTGCCTTTGCCTGACCTGGCCGTGGCTATCTGCGACGTTGGCGGCGACGTGCTGGGAAACCGTACTTGCGTTGACCAGCTCATCATGGCGTTGTACACGGCCGCGCTCCATGCATCGCACGACTATGACCGGGGCCCTGCCTCGGCAGGGGCTTCAGCAACAATTACCCAGATATTCGTCGACGCGGAGACGCGCAGAGGAGAATAAATGGAATGCAGAGACATTCGAAGGTCGAAGGGTAAGATTCCCCCGGAGACGCTTGAGAAAGCAACGCATGGCGCGCGAGTGGGTCGAGCAAATTAGGATCGGGCCGCCGTCGTGCCCGCGTTGCGGGAGCTCGCAGGATGCACGACCCAATCCCGTCGATCCGCGAAGACGGACCCGACCTGTCGCGGGCTGCAAATTGCAGCGCGGAGCAGGCCAGCGACGCAGATCAGCCCGTTAGTAACCAGATTGGCATCGCTTCCGAGGGCGACGCACCACCGGAAGGCCCAGCGCAAATGCGGCATAAGAAGGAGAGAAACCCTTTGTCGAGGGTGCTAACTCGAGACAAGTAGATGAACAAGCACCGCAAGTTGTGGACAGAGTCGCAGAGATCCAGGCGCCCACGCCCCCATAGAGGAATGGGTTACGAGGGCCCAACGGCCGATTATGATTCACTAAGCCTGGACACAATTATCCGAGGAAAGCATCGCCCACGAGAAGGCCCAGGGAACTCACAAAGGGGATGCGTCCATGCATTCGTGCCTCTGGCACGACGGGGGCGACCCAAAGGGACGACGTGCTCAATTGCGCGCGCGCCCGTCAATCCCGTTCCGAATTCTCTCGACTCCGGCCCTTTGGGCATCCTCGACTGGGAACTGGAACAATTCGACAAGGCGGGGGCGATTGACCTTGGAGAACGCTGGGTCGCGCGGGCCGAATCCCGAGGCGTCGGGCCCTGTTGCGAAGCGATCGCTCGGACGGCAGGAAATGCTGGTTCCTCTCCCCGCTGAAAACCGAGCCAGGCAGGGAAGCCGCAGTCAAATTCGAAAATATTCGCGAGGCGAGGGGGCGCGACGAGGCCCTCAGTAGCTCCGTGAGTAATGCGAGCAGGATCAGCGGCAGGCTGCGTCTGAAACACGATGAAAATGTTCCGCTCGTTCCCGGGCACTGGCCTTCGGTTGTTCCGGGGCCGTCTCTCCATGGGGGGGGTGAGAAGGCCGCCCACATCGCCGCGTCGAGTGTCCGTATGATGCGCGGGCGGCAGCTGGGACACCTGGGAACGCGAAGAGCACGAGAAAGGCCCAGCAGCGGCGACTGCACAGTTCACTTCTCCGAGGACATTCCCGGGGCGATATCGCGGATGGCCCTTGGGGGTGGAGCAGCCCCAGCCATGGACAGCAACGCACGCTGCGGCGCTACGGCGAGGGGCCGGCTTGCACTCGATGCCACGCGCGCCATACATAGGCATCCGCGGGGGGAGGGATCAAGGAAATATTCTGCAAACATGGATTCATGATGAGACGCGGAGAAGCAGGCGCGCCCTCGAGGAGGGGAGGCGTTTTTCCTGGGCCCTAGCAGCGCCGCGTTTGTCGAGAAGACACCAGGCGGGATTCCTAGTTGCAAGGCCAAGGAGGGCGCCTTCAACGCCCCCGAAGTCGGGCGCCTAGCGGCGACGACAAGTCCCGAGACGCTCGCGCGAGAATGGAACGCGCCATCAGAGTGCACGGAATAAGGCTCGCCACGGTAGCGATCGCTATGACGCGGGGTCACCCCGGGGCAGAATCTCAGAGATCTGCAGGAGGCCGGAGACAGATGTTCTCGAGAGCTGTTGCCGACAGGAGAGAAGTGCTAGATATAAGAAAGAACCCGGGCGTTCGCGCCCGCCCTGCCGCTGGCATTCGGGGGGGCCCTGGGACTGGATCGAGCTCGGCCGGCGATCGGGGAAGGAAGACGGCGGGCGCAAGAGCTCGCGACGTCGCCGCGACAGTTGACCCGATCGCCCGCGACGAGCCCGGCCGCGGGCGGATGGCGCTACGCGGGCGCCGCGGCCACCACGGCAGGGCCGAAATTGACGATGGCGACCGCAGTCACGGAGCAGACTCGACGAAAGCAGCCAAAAGGGGGCGCGAGCATCATTCGGACGACGCCCCAGCCGGCAAGCACCGCTTCCCCCGCAGAGGAAAAGGCGGGGCAGGCGGGGTGGCAGCTCATGGCGCGCGGGTTCGAGCTGCGGGCCGGAATGGCAGTTCACGGCGAGCGAGGTCGAAGCGCGACCGTGGGGGGCCCGTGACGCCCGCAGGCTTTGTCCGATAGACTTTGGTGCTACGTCGCTCCGTCGAGTGCCCGGGGCCTTCACCTCTGCAGCAGAGACAAGTACAACCCGCACGCATCGCGCTGCAAAAGCTTTGTTTAGGGTTGGTGCCTCTTGACGAGTTGCGCCGAAGGCTGGCACGCGGGGTGAAGTCGTTCTGGCGCCCGCCACGGGGGGGGTCGCTACCTCCGCCCCTTTTTCCGCTCCTCTTTTGAATTCCTACGCGCGTGCCGCTGCGCGCTTGGCTCAACAGAGTCGTGAGAGTAGGACGCAGCTGGCGCCTTAGCGGGGAGGGGCGCGTGCGCCTCTCTCTTGGCGCGCGCGCATACTATGTAAGTTCACATCTATTCAACAAAACACTACAGCCATGCCGGACGACATCGTTAAGGACCCATCAGCCATGTCTGGCGACATTGTTAAGGACCCATCCTTATCGAAAATCCATGCGAAGGGATCCCCAGAGTTAGGATATCGGACCAAAGGCAACGTCCAGTCGTAAGGGAACGTCGGCTATCTGAAAGGAGCAACAGCAGCGGTAACAGCGCGACAGGACGCGGTGACGATCGTGGGCGGCTGGAGCAAGCAGCGCAGCTGCCACGGCCACGCGCAGACGTTACGGCTGCGACCAGCCGCCGCGTGGGCGGCTTCGCGGGCGATTGTGACGACGACGACGACGACGAAGACGGCGATGGCGACGACTTCGACGACGACGACGGCGACGACGAAGACGACCACGACCACGACCACCACGACGACCACGACGACAGCGACGACCACGACGACCACGACGACCACGACGACGGCGACGGCGACGACGACGACGGCGAAGGCGACGGCGACGGCGACGGCGACGGCGACGGCGACGGCGACGGCGACGGCGATGGCGACGGCGGCGGCGACGACGACGACGACGACGACGACGACGACGACGACGACGACGACGACGACGACGGCCGTGGCGGCGACGGTGGCGGCGGCGGCGAGGGCGACGACGACGACGACGACGCCGAAGGCGAGCTTCGTGCCCTGGCGCCGCCCTGGCGCGGGCTGCCGCGCCGCAGGGCTCGGCGCGCTGGTGGCCTTAGGCTGCCCGCCCAGGGGTCCCAGGGGGGCGTGGGGGGCAGGCGGAGACAAGCGACGCGTTGTTCTGCAATTGTCATGCTAGCCAGCAGGCAAGCGCCGGGTGGCATGAGCGCGTGGACGGGCCAGCTCCCGGAGGCAGAGCCGCAGGAGTGTCGGAGGGCCGCGCGCGAGGCCACACGCGCGGCGCCCGCAGCCGACGCCGGCGGTAAGGGCGCGCCTGCAGCGGAGCCCGCGGAGGAGCAAGCGGCTGGAATGCGTGCCAGCGCCCGCTGGTGGCCCTAGATGGTGGCCTTACGTGAACTGCGACCCCAGACGCGCTAGCGTCGCGAGGAGATCCCGATGGCAGGTTTGTGGCCGTTGTCGACTTCCGGGGGCGCTCGCGAGGTCCAGGGGCCTTGAACAAACGGCGCGGGGTGAAAAACCGGCCTTGGGGAAAGGGTCAGGGTTTCCAGGAACCCCGCACCTTGAAATTATCATTTTGGCGAAGGACACAGCCAGTTGCAATTGTGAGTACCACAGGGCCAGCGGGACGATCGAGGGAGAAATCCTTGAGGGGTTGCGACCCGCGTGAGACGGGCGAACTGCGTGAGGGGTGTGCCAACCTGGGGCGGGTGCCGCATGCGGACTGTGGGGAAACGCATGCGATGAGCCCGTTGTGCCCTTCGGTGGAGATCGTTATGGGGCCACGAAACGTGTGAGGGGCGTGCAGTTTTTCGCCCTAGGAATGTTTCTGAAGGTCCGCGGGGCCCGAAGGCGGGCCCCACGCACCAAAACCAGCGAGAATCCGAAAACTTGTACAAAGCAGATAAGAAAAATCGGCGAACTCGAAAAAAGAAGAGCATTGAGGCATCTATAGAGAGGACAGAGAACCTTTTCCAGGTTTCCTCTCCCGCTGCCGGACAGGGAGCCGTTTCAGGGTGTCCCTCTGGAAATGCCACGCGGGACAGGGAGCCTTTTTCGGGTTCCTTCTCTCGCCCTCATCATCATCATCCTGTTTTTTTTCCTCCTCCTCCTCCTCCTCCTCCTCCTCCTCCTCTTCCGTCTTCTCATCCTCCTTCTCCTCCTCGTCCTCCTCCTCTTCCTCCTCCTCCTCCTCCTCCTCCTCTTCCTCCTCCTTCTCCTCCTCTTTCTTCCTCCAACTCATCCTCCTCCTCCTCCTCCTCCTCCTCCTCCTCCTCCTCCTCCTCCTCCTCCTCCTCCTCCTCCTCCTCCTCCTCCTGCTCCTCATCCTGCTCCTCCTCCTCCTCCTCCTCCTCCTCCTCCTCCTCCTCCTCCTAGGCTGCTGTTTGAGGGCATCGAACCATAGACCGGCAGTTCGGAGTCTAGGATCGCACCCCTGTAGTCGCACCCAGGCCCTCACAAGTTCGTTACGAGGGCAGGGAGCAGGGGGAGTCCGAAGGGCTTCGGCACACACGGCTCATTCCGTTCTGTTGTCGCCACCGTTTTTGTTGGTTCCATATTTGTTGCGCCGCTTTTCGTTTCGACAGTGTAACCTCGAAAAGCAAGAGTGCGAGACGCAGAGACAAGATGCGTCGCACGCATTCGCGAAAAACGCAGGGATTCTAGCTAAGAATATTGAAGTGTCTGGAAACAGCCTCAACAGACATGGGGCACACGATATTGAAGAACCAGGACAGTAACCGGTTGTGCAGGCCGATTGTCAATATGATATTGACAGTCGGCTTGCACTTCTGGTTACGCGTCAGTGGGCACGTGGATTCACCATACGTTCGTTGTTCCCCATCAACTTGCTACATCTAATTTAGCGGACGCGCGTACGAAGGCAACGAGCAAACACACGATACGGAGGGATTTTGTTTCTAGAAGAGAAGCGGAGGACGTCCGCTACACTTCCGGGCATCAGCAGCCAAACAAATCTATACAATTGCCATCAGTTGGAACGTGGATTCACCGTGCACCGTTTGACAGGCCGATAAAGAAGAATGCATGCGTACGCGATTGTACTCATTCGCGAGTTGGCAAAGGCAATGCCGAACATACACATATCGATGCACGTGGTTTGTTTGATATTGCCAGTCTTCTCTAGCAGGCGAGCAACAAGCGCATAAAGACATACTGTGTTCGGGAAGTTTTGCTGATGAAGGCCACATCAATGCAAAACCGTGCATTGGGAGAGCATGGATCGGACTTGCGCCACGTTGTTTACCATCAGTCAAAGGAGACCGAGGGCATCGGCATATCAGAAGCAGAGATGTTCCATGGCCGTGGAAAGAGAAGCTCATATCATTGACTTGGCATCACAAGTACAGGCGCCATTCGCCGACATAGAGGACGCCATCGCCAGTCTCCTCTTGGAAGGGAAGATCGTAGTAACGAGGGTCCGTAAACATGGAAGTTTGTATGCACATTATATAGATATGGGAAAACGCACATCCCGTTATTAGACACGGAAGCAGCGCACGAGAAAACATACAGCATAAACCTTTGTTGGATGGCACCGAGATCTTCGAGGAAAAGTTCCCCCACCCCAAGTCGGAGGAGACGACGACGGCCAGCTCCTCCAGCGGCCATCAGTGAGAGCACCCATTGGAGCCCACTGGAAAGCCAAGAGATGCATTAGCGATGTTTTCTCGGAGTGCTACTCTGGGCAAGATGGGCGAGCCCACTGGCAAAGCCTAGAGATGCATTAGCGAGGTCGCCTCGGAGTGCTACACCTAGGCAAACAGGACGGGCAAACACAGAGTGCTCGCACGGACATCGCCATCGGAAGTGTTTTCTGGAAGTGCCGACAGGTACATTACTGCAGGGTGATGAATGGGGGAAACAAGTGATCATCACGAAGGCCACCAGAGCGCATCCTCGATGGCTCCACCTACAACATATCGTGAATACCAGCATGCTCTACCCAACGTACATTTCGAGGGGGGAACAGTTGGAGACTTCAACAGGGTATCACAGTACAGATACGACAACGCATGGGACAACGATCGGCCAGTTCGATGTGGAAGAGAACTGAGCCGAGCGAGAGTGGAGAGAATAGGGTAGAATAGGATCAGTCTGGTAGGCCCCCCAGCAAAAGTTTGGGAAGCACGGGCCTCCCGACCCTCCCCCCCTCTTTCTTTTGAGTTGTCGTGTCGCCGTCTCCTCCCCCTATTTTGGGCGCACTGCTAAGTCTGCGCGCCCCCTCCCCCTTGGGCACGCGGAAGGGCCAGCGGCTGCTGCCCCCGCGCTGACCCGCAGGGACTCGCAATCGCAAGGTAGCGAGCTTCCCTTATGGGGCCACTTCGGAGTTCACTCCTTGAGCAACGGGGTACGCCCCCTGCCGGCCCTAGTGAGAAGTCAGGGCTGATGCACAACCAATCGCATGGGATTTTGCCAGACACGCGCAAGGCACCAGCGTAGGTGTTTTGACGTTGAACCCCCTAATGTGGATGTCATTGTCCTTGTCCTCCTCTTCCTCCTCCTCCTCCTCCTCCTCTTCCGGTGTGCCGTGGAACTCCCTATAGGGCCACGATCTTCGTGAGAGGCGTACCGAAATGAGCGCGGTGCCGCCATGCAACCCTTGCCAGTAGAGTCTTCTGTGGATCTCACTGCGGGGCCATGATCGTCGTGAGCGGTGTACCGAAATAGTTGCAGAGCCGCCATGAAACCCGTGGTCCCTACGGGCCACGATCCTCGTGAGGAATGCACAGAAAAGGGAGCGGAGCCGCCATGCAACCCTTGAATATGCAGCCTTCGTGGAGTCCCCTGCGTGGCCACGATTCTTGTGAGGGGTATAGCGACATGGGCGCGGAGTTGCCATAGGAATTGTTTTGTGGAGCTCCCTACGGGACCACGCTCCTCGTGAGGGGTTGCCGAAATGAGCGCGGCGCCGCCATGCAACCTTTGCCACTGGAGTTTGTTGTGTGGAGCTCCCTGCGGGGCCACGATCTTCGTGAGGGGTGTACCGAAATGGGCGTGGTGCCGCCATGCAACCCCTGCCACTGCAGCCTTCTTGGAGCTCCATGCGGGGCCACGACCTCGTGAAAGGTGTACCGAAATTGGCGCGGTGCCGCCATGCAACCCTTGCCACTGGAGCCTTCCGTGGGGCTCCCTAAGGGGCCACGATCCTCGTGAGAGGAGTGCCGAAATCTGCGCGGTGCCGCCATGCAACCTATGCCACTGGAGTTTCCCGTGGAGTTCACGATCCTCGTGAGGGGGTGTAACGAAATTGGCGCGGTGCCGCTATGCAACCCCTTGCCATTGGAGTCTCCTGTGGAGCTCCCTACGGGGCCGCGGTCGTGTGCCGAAATTTGGTGCGGAGCCGCCATGCAACCCTTGTGACTGGAGCCATGCACCCCGTGCCACTGATGAGGATGATGGTGATGATGGTGCTGATGATGATGTGTGTGCGATGATGATGATGATGATGATGATGATGATGATGATGATGATGATGATGATGATGATGATGATGATGATGATGATGCGATGATGATGGTGATGACGGTGACGACGATGGTGATGATGATGGTGGTGATGGTGATGGTGTTGATGATGCTGATTATGATGAGGGTAATTGTGATGGTGATGGAGATGATGATGATGGTGATGGTGGTGGTGATGATGGAATTGATGATGATGGTGATTGTGATGGTGATGGTGCTGTTGAATATGAAGATGCTGATGATGAGACGGATAAGAATGAGGATGATGATGATCAGTAATCGTGTGATGGTGGTGGTGATGGTAGTGGTGATGGTGATGTCGATGATGATGGTGGTGGTAATGGTGATGATGATGGTGGTGGTGATGATGATGATTATGATGATGATGATGAGTATGATGATGATGACGACGGTGATGAAGATGATGATGATGATGATGATCATGATGATGATGATGATGGTGATGATGAAGACAATGATGATGCTGATGCTGATGAGAATGATGATGATGATGATGATGATGATGATGATGATGATGATGATGATGATGATGATGATGATGATGATGATTATTGTGATGCTGATGGTGGTGACAATGATGATGAGTGCGGAGAGCAGAGGCAGGGAAGGGAGGAGGAGGAGGAGAAGAAGGCGGGAGGAGGAGGAGGAGGAGGAGGGGGAGGAGTGCGAAGAGGGAGGAGGAGAAGGAGGGAGGAGGACCAGTGCACACCCGACAACGATGTTGGAATAAACCCTCCATCCAAGCTCCCTCTTCATAGGCCCCTACAACGGTCCATTTCCACTGAGGGAACTGCTTGGTTGGAACACAACCGTTTGAAGGCCCTGAAGCATGCCAATACATTGTTCTCGGGATTCCAACGCCACGGATCAACCTGAGTGTTGCGTCTTGACGATTCTGAATCGTGTCAGAAGGTAATTCTTGGGCCTTTGAAAAGATCCAACACCATGCTTGGTACGTTGACCATGCGATCCCGTGAAACTCTGCACTTATACACACATGAAAATTAGTGTGTGTGTGTGTGTATATATATATGCATACATACATATTTCTATATAACATAAATATACATGTGTTAAACGAAAATGCGCGCGGCGCTAAGGCGAGAGCCACATGTTGAAAAGGAACCTCCCTCAATCCGTCAAATTCTTGCAGATGTTTAAAACGAATGCACGCGGCGCCGAGGCGAGAGCCACATTTTGAAAACGAAACGCCCTCAATCCGTGAAGCTCTTGTTGCAAATTGTTAAAAACGAGTGTGCGCGGCGCTAGGGCGAGAGCCACATATTGAAAACGACCCGCCCTCAATCCGTGAAGCTCTAGCAACTGTTTAAAGCGAATGCGCGCAGCGCTGAGGCGAGACCCACATGCTGAAAACGACCCGTCCTGCATCTGTGAAACGGTTGTCATGTGTTTATTTCCGGGGGCATATATTGTGAGTAAGTCTCCGGCGAAACGCCCGGCTCTATGTATATAAGCAAGAGGGATGGAGGAGGAGGAGGGGGAGGAGGGGGAGGAGGAGGAGGAGGAGGAGGGACGCGGGGCGATGTCTCTTCGAATTGAGGACCCACAACCATTGGATAGTTGGGAAAAACAAGTCCATCGGATGTCTGGGTCGCGAGGCGGCCTTAGGTTGCCGCCCGCTGGTCCTAGGCTCGCGTTGATGGCCCCAGGCTGCCCAACCACGGGGCATCTCCCGCCGCGCGGGGGGGGGATCGGCGGCGTGCCGAGGGGGGGGGCGAGCGGGGGCTGGCCTTCTGCGGTCGACTACGCGTAAGAGTGGCCCTTCGCCTGAGTGAACTCGTGGTGCGGGTTCAGCGGGGCCCCCACGAGCGCCAGGCGCGATGCGGCAGCAGCGGCCTGCGCGCTTGGGTTTGGCTGCCCCGCGCCCCCCAAAAGGCCGCGCACCACAGGGCACCCGTACCCAGGGTCATTCACGCGGGTAGCCGAGAGCGGGGGGTTGCCGTCTTAGAGAGCTGCGGGGCTTCTCAAAAACCCACCAGCTTTCCCAGAGGCCCTCTTGAAACATCGGGCCTCCTGGGGTGGCGCTGGGGGCCCATCGGGCGTGGCTAAGACAGGGGCAGAACATTCCAGAGCGTTCCGAAATGCTCTCAGAGCGTGCCAGAACTCCCTAGAGCGGCCGCAGCGCCCGATGCGTCCTCCAGAACCGCCAAATCTCAGAGCTCCCCGATGTGTCCAGGCCCCATTTTGTCCCCGGACGGGCGTCGTCTAAGCCCGAGGGCGCCGTCAGAAGGGACGGTGCCCCGCCCAGGCAGCTTCAGACATTTGGTCTCATACATCTTGGAAAAGGGCTTCCATGATGTTGAAGAGCTGTACAGACCTAGCCTTCCCTTTCCTCTTCCCCCTCACCTCAAACAGTACCTCCTCTCCGCCACCTCCTCTCCCTCCTGTCTCAGCGGCGTGCTGTTCTTGCCTCTCCGACTCCGCCTCCTCGACCATACCTCTCGAAGTGTGGCGTTGCGACGTAATTCCTCGACTCGTGTACCCAGCCTCAGGCATCCAGCAGCTCGAGAGATCGAGCCGCTGTTGTTCGCCATCCTGGGCCTCTGGAGGCCAGCTCTGGCCAGGCCTAGGGGCGCCGTGGGAGGCCGCATCTTTGGGTCGAGAGCTGCGGGCTCCCAAGGTTCAGAAAAACATGAAGCCGCCTGTGTGCGTGTGAGTCTGGACCTCTCCTCTTCCCTTCTCCCCCACCTCCCGTTCTCTCCTCCTCGCCTCCCTCCTCGTCCTGCCTCGTCCCCCTCAGTTCCCTCCTGCTCCTGCTTGAGCCCCCTCCTCTCTCCTTCCGCCTCCGCCCCACCCCTCCTCCTCCTCCGCCTCCTCCTCCTCCTCCTCCTCCTCCTCCTCCCCCTCCTCCTCCTCCTCCTCCTCCTCCTCCTCCTCCTCCTCCCCTCCTCCTCCTCCTCCTCCTCCTCCTCCTCCTCCTCCTCCTCCTCCTCCTCCTCCTCCTCCTCCTCCTCCTCCTCCTCCTCCTCCTGCCCTGCTCCTTCGACCGCCCCCCCCCAGCTCTTCGCCTGGTGCCCGCAGCGCCCCCGAGGCTGGATGGAGTGCCAGGGTGAGGCCGCCGTCGGCTCCGAGGACTTCCGCCTATTGCGGAGGGACGGCGCCGCGCAGCGGGCGCGGACCTCGTCCTCCAGGCTGTGCCGCCTGCCCGGGCGGGACGGCGCCATCGAGGAGCTGTCAAGGAGGGGAGGGGGCCCCTCGCTTCTCCTCCTCCTCCGTGGGGCAGATCGGCCCCCTTTTTTCTTGGTCGAGCTCGGAGCGGTCCAGCCGCTGAAGCGTCAGTGTGCTCGGCAGTCAGCGCCCCCGACTGCCGAGCGGTGCAAGGGTGCAGAGGCCTCGACCTTCCCCGTGGCCGACAGCTCGCGCATGAAACGCTGCAAGGAGCATGCACTCTCGGCGCCCGTCGAGCGTTGCCTTCCTGACCGAAGTACACCCACAACATCCCCGCCCTCCTCCCAACCAAGTGCTCGGGCGGGCGCACGAGCCAGCATTGTAGCCGTCGATTGACGACAACCGCAGGAGCAAGGAAGAGATGAGGAGGTCAAATTACATCATGACGGGGTGGAGAAGGAAAAGGTGACTCGCCCCTGGTAGCACGCCGCCAGGACGACGAGTCACGAGCTCAAAAGCAGAAGTCTGGGGGACGGGGAGGCTTGGGGTGGCGCTCGACGGTTTATTTCGCCCGCCTTACCACTTGCGCCTCCCGTGCCCTCCCCGTCCCCTAAAGGAGAAGAACAGCACAATCTCCCCCTTGGTCGGCCCCTCAATAGTTCAACTACTCCGCAGTAGCGCTGAGCACGAGTACGACCTTCGTACACGAGGGGCCGCCAAGGGGGAGGACGCATACAAGTACTCCTCCTCCACCAAAATCCACTCAACCGACTCCTCCTCCAACTTATTGTCGCCCAGGGCGACTAGACGGGCGGTGGCCTCGCGAGGCTCCTCTCAGCCTGCAGGCTGGGCAAAGCACACAGAACTGATCATCCCGCACCTACACAATCGCTCCAAAGCAAACCTATAGGTTCCTGCGAAGACTCGCCGACAAGGTCATGAAGAAGCGGGCCCTTCTGAAGGCCCGCCCAATCAGAACACCAACCGTTCGTGGAAGTTCAGCACATTGACTATGTTGTCCATGGTATACGTGGCAGCAACGTTCGGGCCCATGATGACGCAGCTCTATCTGATAGTCGCAATGTGTATGAATAATTATCATCTCTCTAGCTTCTGTAGCGCCGAACATACAAGTGTCAATCTCAATGTGGCCCACTCGGGCCCCAATAGTCTCGAAGTCTGGCATGAAGTTCTTCATATTGTCGTACACCTTGCGCTCCGCTAAGACCGCCACAGGAACGCCAGCCATAGTACCTGCTTGCAGTAGCCTCCACGCCGACCTCACCTGAGAATTGTCGCCAGCATAGTTCTGTCGGCGTTGGGGAGGCAATCGTCGGATACCCCAAGGTTCAGTCTGAGTACGCCCTTGGTCAGGTCCAACTCCGAGCCACGTTCTCCCACTGAGATGGATTAGAATAGCACCTACGTGACCTGACTGCATCCGAGTAACGATCGTCCTCATCTGCGCCTCTTGTAGTCCAACCACCGTGCCCTCCTCGTCACGTCCAGAATATGTTTCAATATCAAGGCCACATGCCTGATGAAGCGCATCTGAGAATTCTGCGTCGCCCTCGGCTTGAAAAACATTAAGCAGTACCATTGTACTGGGGTCGCCAGTCTCAATACGTCGAATTGCATTGGGTACCTCACGTACCGGTAGCCATACTTCAGGGACTTTGATAGGAACCAGCCTGTCACCCCTGCCCCCAAGAAGATCTCCGTGGCGAGCCCGTTGTCTAGCAACCCTGTAATTGAACCCTTGCTGGACTTGCTTGCGCTCACGTCGTAGATCCTCCTGCCGCAGAAGTTCAGCTTCATCAGTGGAAAGAAGGTCCCCGTTGTCCAAGAGCCATGAAATACACCTATTGCCTCGTCTGCGTAAGTGCCGTAACAAGTTGGAGCGATCCCCGAAGGCTGTGCCACAAGCTCCACACTGCGTACCTCGTGCTACCAGCTGGGCTCCATCAATCGGCTGATGGTCCAAGAAGTGTTTGCGCCAGGCAGACTCCTTCGAACACACCCATCCACAAGTATAGCACACGAATTTCTTCTCCAAGTCCGTGCTGACCGCCGGCGCCAGCTGAGCGTTGAGACTTCGTTCTGCAATTTGCATTTGGGCATTCTCAAGTTCTCTATACACGTGATACTCCCATGCAGTCTTGACTTCATTCAAAAAACTCTTCGTGTTCAACCTGGCGTACTGGAACCACTGCTGCACCGTCCAAGCTGAGCGAGCTCTGTCCTTGCTGTAACTATCAAGCCATTCCAAGTCATCACGAAGTAGTGAGACCCAGGATCCCCGTTCGCCAGCCAATTGGTCAAGGAGAAGCCATAGGACAACAGGAGCCTGCAAAAACATCTTCCCAAAGTACATTAACCTCTTCTTGCGAATAATATCTCGTAGATGCAGTCTCCTCACAGCACCTAAGACTTGTTCGTCGTTGTAGAAGCTAGTAGTCTGGCGATGATGCTGCAGACCTTGTGCCACGCGATATGTCGCGATTCGAGGTGTCTCCAACCGTTGCAAGAGTGACTCACTAAGTGCCGTCCATGTCTCGGCCAAATAAGTAAGATGCACATTGGCCAAGGTGTCAACTAGATTCGTTTTCGCTGGCCTCGTCATACCCCCAAATTTCGAAATCATCTTCTTAACAGGCATGGCCGCTATCTTCTGCTTCTGCACAAGGTGTGCTATCCGAGGGCCCATCTCGAGACGGCGGTTGATCATCGTCCCTAAGTACTTGTACTCCTTCACCACATGCACCTGAATATCCCACCGTGTAGGTATGATCAGAAGTTCGTCTTCGTTATCAAGTCGATCCCTCAAGTCCACAGGTGCTTGCCTGCTAGGTATGATGAACATGGCTGACTTGGACTTCTTGTAGTTGACCAAAAAGCCGTGCGAGAGCATAGCCACATGGACTGCATCCGCAATTTCACCAGCAAGTTGTATAGGATCTTGCAATGGCTCAACAGACTGCATAATTAAGGCATCGTCAACAAAGGAAATATCCGTAAGGTGAGGATCATCTTGTGATTCCGCAGGTGCAAAGCAGCCCTGGACTCCTTCCACCCGCAGAGGCAAGCTGGCACCTAGCGGACGTAGGGCCTCGTCGATGCTCTTGAGAGGCTTGCAAAACGCTGCGTTAAAGATCGCGTCGGCCAAAGAGCTTCCTGGACGCGAGCTCCTACGCGACCTAGCAACGGTGCTTAGGGTGTTAGTGCCAAAGTGCGTATCTCGATGTCCTTCAATCAGTAGGGCCAAAAGGTGAGGATGTGCTCCAAGACCATCCAAGGCTGCTGGTTGTGATAGGATAAAAGTCAACAGGGGTAGCATCGCTATGGGCAAGTCATGATGATGTATAATGTATTCGTCGTCTCCATCTGGGTCGCCATGCCGAGGTAGAACCATACTGCGCACCACCGAATAGAAGGCTTGCACCAAGTCAATAAAATATAGAATATATAGAATAGCCGAGCGCCCTTGGACCTGCGCCGCTTGAATGAACGAAGTTGCGATGTGAACCAGCAACGCAGGGCCTTTGGCAGGTCGACCTCCACACTGGGTGTCGCGAAGGAGTACGTCAAGATATCGTGTGAGTTGCTGCCGTAGAAATTTATGCCAACACTTACTCACCACTCCATTCAACAGGATGGAACGATACGTCTGCAGTTGCTGCCCAGGTCCACCTGATTTGAGAAGAGGGAAGACGGTGCCATGCTTCCAATCGAAAGGCTCCTGCTGGTACACGCTCGTCTTGAACATAATCGGCCCATAGTGCCGAGCAGCGGAGCGAGGGCAAAGACGCAGAAGATCACCATGTATGTCATCCTTTCCTGGTGCCTTGCGCCGCTTGACCTGTGAAAACATCCCTGCCACCAATCCAACATGCGGTAGGCAAGCGGTGTCCAAATCTGTACCATCAATGTCATGATGCAGGCGCTCGTTGTATTTTATCCTCAAAGCGTTGTCGTCCATTAGTTCTGCGTCCTCAATGTTTGCGAAGTACTCCAATATCATCAAATCGGCCTCTTTATCCGTCGTTGCCACCTGCCCTGCCGAGTCCACCAACATGGGATATCTGCTAGATTTACCCTGCCTGCCTCCATACTTGAGCAAAATCTTAAGCAGTCTCCACTCCCCATGTGGTTCATTATTTGCAGCACACACATCCATCTGCCGCGAGAGGTCTTCCAAGAAGGCCGTGCGGTCAACATCAACTGCTCGCCGAACTTTCTTGGCAGTACTAGCCAAGAATGTACGAAGATGCTCTTGAAATTCGTTTGCCGTGAAGCCTCCCTCTCGCATTTTTTGTCCATGAGAACGAAGCTGACGAACGTCCGATTGCCAAGGCCGTTCCTGACGGGATCGAAAAAGCGGGTCATCCAGATGATTAAGTAGTTCTCGCCAAGGTGGTCTGTCTTCAGTGTGTTCAGGAAGCCAACGACGTGCCCGCGTAACGCACCGACGTAGTCGGACTAATTCCATAGTAGACTCAGAAACATATCCTTTATAAGAAGTCAATCTGTTGGTACCAAAACATGTTCTAGCAGCACGCCTGACCAGCTGATTCGTCATTTCAAGATGGTCGTTTACGTCGAGCTCCCACTCTGGCAGTACGGAGTTGTCCAAGATCGTGGTGAACTGTCTTACCTTGCTCTCGTCCTTGAGCTTAGACTGATCAAGATGTAACGCCGAACGCTGTTTGCCAACTGTGCGGACACCGCTCGTCTTCAGATCCAAAATAACTGGATGATGGTCTTCTCCATCACTATAGGTATCGAATCCATAGTCAACCTGGCATTGAGTTACTGTGTCAGCCCATTGTGAATCCAGAAGAATGTGGTCAAGACGATGTCGGACTCCAGCAATAGAGGTATATGTGTGTCCCCCTTTATGCGGGTGCCAGGTAGAAGCAAGAGACAACTGGTGTACTTCGAGTACCTGACGCATAGCTTTTGCAGGTCCGTCGTCGCAAGCAGGCACACAGTATTCTGGGTGAAATCTGCCAACTAACTCCCGAGAACCGCTCGAGGGTACCTCTGCCTGCCCGATCTTGGCATTCATATC